ACAGAGGAAGTGAATTCGGGAGCCTCAGTCAAACATCCCTTGTAGTTTGTGCAGTTGGTGCTTAATGTAATCATTTTGGTGGCTCTCAAAGCTGTGAACCAGCACACAGGTGACAGTAAGAGGAAGGAGCAAGCATGTGAACAAATGCATGAACCACAGTCAATCTCTGAATCTAAATCCATGTGTCTTACGAAAATCCGTTATTGTTGAAAGCCATTTGCAAAGCTCCCACGATCCTCTCTTGGCTGGTGCACGGTTGTGAGTGCCTCTTTCCAAGTGGTGGGTGACGGAGAAATGACTAACCAGAGATGGTGTTCACAGGCATACCGATTCCAAGTCTGATCACAGCCACAGATTGCTTTCCCAGGTTATTAAGAAGAAATCAACACTTCACTTTCTCGGATCATGTTTTTAAACATTTGTACCGTTGACATAAAGGGAGAGAGGAAGAAAAAAGAAGTACAAGAAAGAATACACAAAGGAGAAGCAATATGGTGCAGTTTTTAAAAATGCATACAATTAAAACACATAGAAGAGGAATCTCCATTAGAATTACAGTGCTTGATCAGATCTCATCCAGAGTTGACACTGTTCACCGAGTGATTTGGACATTCAGAGCCTCTCTGGGTGGTATTTTTCTATCCCTGTCAAATCAGTATGCCATCTCTGCATACCTGTATTGTTATACAGGCAACATCATTATAAACTCCCCAGTGCCTGCCAGGATGCAGTGCTTTGGTGTGACTGAGCCACACTAGGTACTAAACCTTTCTACACTGATGCAATCAAATTAGAGGTTAAATCTGATACTGTAACAAGTTACCACCTGGGAGCAGAAATGCCTTGTGTTTTATTTTTTCTTTCTAGCATTGTGAAATGAGCATGGCATAAGGCACATTTTAATTACAGCAAATATTAATTTTTAATGGGAAATGTACACCTGGCTTTGTATTGTTCATAAATTATCTGAGAGGTTGAAAGTTATTTATGTGAATTTGATGCAGTTGTAATTAAAGTGAAGAAACCAATAGCCTTCTGTAATTGAATGCACATTAATCTGAAAGCTACCTGAGGGCAGGGATTCTGTGTTAAGAATGTTGTATACTCAATTTAGTAAAATGCCAGACTTGGAAATAGTGGTCTTCTAGGTGATGTGCTAGATATTTTCCAGATATTTCCAGGATATTTTCTTTCCTGTAGAAAAATGATATCAGCTAGTACTGCAGGTAATTATGTGCAAGAAAGGAAGATTCTATCACATTATCTGGCATTGCTTTTTTCGTTTTGTAATAGAGAAATTGATTAGCACTACTGTGCATTGGGAAAGTATTTTCCTTCTATATCTAGTGGATGGTGTTTAAATTAACTATATTTGTTTGTCCCTGAGAAAGAGAACTGAGGCAGGAGCTTGGGGGATGGAATAGGAACAAAGAAAGCAACAAAAAACCACTAGGTATCAGTTTTCAGCTGCATGTAATCTCAGCTTATTTTTTAATGATTTTATTAGGAAGTCTTCTATATTCTATTTTGTAATGCATTTCCCTGAGGGAACTTTAAACCTAGCAGGTCTGTTTGCAATTCCTATCAGATTAGGGGGGAAAAAAGAGAACAGAATATTGGAAATTTCACAGGTTATTCAGTGTTTTAAAAATCCAGTTTCTTGGCCTGACAGTTTCTTAAATCTGTAGACCTTGATGTTTTAATCTCATGCGTTCTGATGGAGCTTGATATTCATAACTGGTGGGTTTGATAAATTTTTAACCAGGAAGTTGAATATGATGAGAAAACACAAGGGGAGGTTTGTATTTTGCACCTTGTCGTCAAGCTTTCCAGTTTCATTTTCACTTTTTGCACTAAGAGTATTCCTTGGAGGTGTCAGAGCTGCCCAAAGCTGACTTCCATCCATATTGAAATGACTTTTTCTGAGCTTTCCAAAATTCCAATTTCAGTGCAGGTGGTAATATCTGAATGTGAGCAGCAGAATAAATATCAGTTTAAAACTCATATAAATATACATTTATGCTCCATGTGTGAACTCATAAGGTATGGGATAAATCTTGTCATTTCAACGTAAGTGGAATAACAAATAGATTGAACGTAGGATGCACTATTGAGAAAACATATTCTGGATTCACAGTGTGATTACACAGTGATGGTTTCATGAGAATTGAATTCCAAAGATCCCACAATGGATTAAAACAATTCAGTCTCTTTGGTCATTTTCGTCAGTAAATTAAAACGTTACTTTTATCTGAAGAATGTTTTTCAATGTTTTCATTATACAAAATAACAAACATATGCAAAAGTAGAGCATAGTAAAATGAATCCTCATGTACCCATCCCCAGATTCAATGATTAACAATTCATAGCCATTCATGTTTAATCTATATCCCCACTTATTTTATCCACATTCCTGAATTGTTGTAAAGCCAACGCCAGACATCACACATCTTATTCATAAATGTTTCAGTGTGTATCTCTAAATATAATTACACCCAATCCTTCAACATTAACTTTGATTCCCTAAGATGATTAATATCTGATCAGTGTTTTCCCAATTATCTTACGTATTTATAAAGTTAACTTGAACTGAAATCCAAACGAGAACTGTAGAATGCATTTAGTTAATATGGCTAGAGTTCTTTAGTCTATAAAGAGTAGAGAACTTTCCACATTCATATTTTACTCTCTTTTTTCTTAGGCTTTTTATATTAGAGAAACTGGATTGTCTTTCTGAGACCTTTTTGAAAAATATAATTGTGAATTCTTTTTCTTGTTTACCGCACATAATAAATTTGCCTTAAAAATTATTGATTGAACCAAAAAAATCTATCAAAACAATTGAATATTAATTGAATACACACACACACCCCACTCTAGTTTTTTATTTATTTTTAATTTTTATGGTTATGTCCGAGTTGTACATGTTTATGGGGAAATGTTTACAAAAGCGTATAATGTGTAATGATCAAATCAAGGTAATTGGACTAGCCATAACTTTAAACATTTATGGTTTTGTTGTGTTGCAAACACTGTAAATCTGTTACTCTAGTTATTTTGAAATATACAATACATTATTGTTAACTATAGTTGCCCTGTTGTGCTACTGAAGACTAGATCTTATTTCTTTTATCTAACTGTATTTTTGTACCCATAAATTCACCGACTTTTAACTCCCCCTTGCTCTCAGTTACCCTTCCTAGCATTTGGTAACCATTATTCTGCTTTCTATCTCTATGAGGTCACTTTTTTTTAGCTCTGGCATGTGAATGAGAACTTGCAATGTTTGTCTTTCTATGCCTTGCTTATTTAAACTGACATCATGTCCTCCAGTTCCATCCATCTGTGTTGAATGACAAAATTCATGCTTTTATGTGGTTGAATAATATTTCGTTGTATGTGTGTACCACATTTTTTCATTCATTTCACACATTGATGTCACTTAGGTCAATTCCATAGCTTGGCTACAGTAAACATGGCAATGCAGATATTTATTCTATATGCTAACTTTCTTTCATTTGAATATATACCCAACAATGAGATTGCTAAATCATATGTTAGTTTTAGATTTTTAAAGAACCTCCATACTATTCTCCAGAGTGGCTGTACTAACTCAGATTCCCACCAACAGTATACAAGCATTCCCCATGCTCCATATCCTTACCACCATTCATTATTGCCTGTGTTTATTAATTTCTATATATATTTTTGTCTTTTTGTTTTTTATTTATTTGTTTTTTAGTTGTTGTTGTTTTATTTAATATATATTCCATATATATTTCATATATATATGCATATATATAGCGCCTGTCTTTTTGAGAGAGCCATTATAACTGGGGTGAGAAATTTCATTACAATTTTTATTTGCATTTTTCTAATGATTAGTGATGTTAAGCATTTTTTTTTTCACATACCTCTTGGTCACTTTTATGTCTTCTTGAAAAATGTCTATTCAGATGTTTGTTCATTTTTATTTGGATTATATGAGTTTTTATTTTTTGTAACAAGCTGTTTGAGCTTCTTACGTGTTCTGACAGTTATTCCCTTGTCGGTTGGGTAGTTTGCAAATATTTTCTTCCATTCTGTAGGTTGTCTCTTCACTTGCTTCTGGTTTCCTTTGCTGTGCAGACACTTTTTAGCTTGATGTGATCCGATTTATCATTTTTGCTTTGGTTACCTGCATTTGATGGCTTATTCAAAACACATTTACCCACACCCATGTCTAAAAGCATTTCTCAGGTGTTTTCTTCTAGTAGCTTCACTAGTCCAGGTCTTATATTGAATTGTTTAATCCACTTTGATTTGATTTTTATAGATGGTGAGAGATAGAGACCTAGTTTCATTCTTGTGCATGTGAATATCTAGTTTTTTCAGCACTGTTTATGAAGAGACTATCCTTTTTGCAATGTAAGTTCATGGTTCCTTTGTTGAAAATAAGTTGACTGCAAATGCATGTATTTATTTCTGGGCTCTCCGTTCTGTTCCATTGTTCTATACGTCTGTTTTTATGCTAGTACCTTGCTGTTTTGGTTACTTTAGCTTTGTAGTATAATTTGGAGTCAGATAAGGTAATGCCTCCAGCTTTGTACTTTTTGCTCAGAATTTCCTTGGCCATTCCGGGTCTTCTGTGGGTCCACACAAATTTTAGGATTTTTCTCTTTTTCTTTGAAGAACATCTCTGGTATTTTCAAAGGGATTGCCCAGAATCTGTAGATAGCTTTGGATAATATGGGTGTTTTCAGAATATTGATTCTTCCAATCCGTGAACATAGGGTGTCTTTCCACTTTTTCTGTACTTTTCAATTTCTTTAATCAGGTTTTATAGTTTTCATTGTAGAGATTTTTTTATTTTTTGGCTAAATTTATTCCTCAGTAATTTTTTTTTGTAGCTGTTGTAAGTGGGATTGCTCTCTTGCTTTCTTTTTCACATCATTTGCTGTTGTCATATAGAAATGCTACTGCTTTTTGTATGTTGATTGTATATCATGCAATTTTACTAGATTTGTTTATCAGTCTAATAATGTTTTGATTTCTTTAGGTTTTCTAAATATAATATTATATTATATGCAAATAAGGATCATTTGACTTATTCCTTTTTAATTTGGATGCTCTTTCTTTTGTCTAATTGCTCTGGCTAGGACTTTCAGTACTCTGTTGAATAACAGTGATGAAAGTGGATATCCTTGTCTTGTTTCACATTTTAGACGAAAAGTTTTCAGTTTTTCCCCCATTCAATATAATAGTGGCTGTGACCTTGTTATATATGGCCCTTATCATGTTGAGGTATGTTTCTTCTATACTTGGTTGAGAGTTTTTATCACAAAAGGATATTGAATTTTATCAAATGCATTTTTTGACATTGACTGAAATGATTATATGGTTTTTGTTTTCATTATGTTGATGTGATATATCACAATTCTTGATCTGTATGTGTTGAACCATCCTTTTATACCAGGGATGATTCCCATTTGATCATGATAAATGACCTTTTTAATATGTTCAATTTGATTCAGTGGTATTTTGTTGAGGGTGTTTGCATTCATGTTCATCAGATACTAGTCTGCAGTTTTCTTTTTTTCTTGTGTATCTCTCTAGTTTTGGTATTAGGGCAGTTCTGATCCCATAAAATGAGTTCAGAAGTATTGTCTACTCCTTGATTTTTGAAAATAGTTTGAATAGAATTGGTATTAATTCTTCCTTAAATATTTGGTAGAATTCAACAGTGAAGTCATAAAGTCCTGGGATTTTTCTCTAGTGGGAGTCATTTTATTACTTCTTCTATAGCATTGTTTATTATTGATCTACTCATGTTTTCTGGTTTTTCATGGGTCAATCTTGGTAGGTTTTTTATATCCAGGAACTTATCCATTTCTTCCAGGTTTTCTAATTTGTTGGCATATAGTTGCTAAAAATACTCTCAAATTTACCTTTGAATTTCTGTGGTATCAGTTTTAATATTTTCTTATCTCTGATTTCATTTATTTGTGCATTCTCTCTTTTTTCTTTGTCTGGCTAAAGGTTTGTCGATTTTCTTTATATTTTCCAAAACAAGCTTTTGTTTTGTATTTTATTGTCACAATTTAATTTATTTCTGCTCGGATCTTTAGTGTTTCTTTTCTTGGATTAATTTGGGGTTTGGCTTGCTCTTTCCTAGTTCTTTAAGATGCATTTTTAGGTTATTTGAAGTCTTTACTTTTTTCCCCCTTTGAGACGGAGTCTCGCTCTGTCACCAGGCTGGAGTACAGTGGCATGATTTTGGATCACTGCAATCTCTACCTCCTGGGTTCAAGTGATTCTCTTGCCTCATTCTCCTGGGTAGCTGGGACTACAGGTGCATGCCACCATGCCCAACTAATTTTTGTATTTTTAGTAGAGATGGTGTTTCACCATCTTGGCCAGGATGATCTTGATTTCTTGATATTGTGATCTTCTCACCTTGGCCTCCCAAAGTGGTCTTTTTACTTTTTTAATGTAAGCATTTATTGCTCTAAACTACCTTCTTAGTACTGCTTTTACTGCATCCCTTATGTTTCAGTATGTTGTGTTTCCACTTTTGTTTGCTTTAAGAGTTTTTAAATTTTCTTCTTAAATTACTTAATTCATCCAGTAGTTGTTCAGGAGCATGTTATTTAATTACCATGCATTTATATAGTTTACAAAGTTCATCTTACTGATCTCTTCATCTTTTCTATTTTTCCATGGTTTAATCCTGGTAGGCTTTTTTATGTCCTGGAATCTATATATCCAATAAATGCTTATTGATTTCTAGTTTCATTTGAGTATGGCCTGAAAAGATACTTGCTATGATTTGGACTTTTCTGAATTTTTGAGACTTGTTTTATGGCCTAACATATGGTCTACCCTGGAAAATATTCTATGTGCCAATGAGAAGATTGTATATTATTCAGAAGTTGGATGAAATGTTTTATAAATTTGTATTGATCCATTTGGTCTGTAGTGTAGATTAAGTCAGATGTGTCTTTGTTAATTTTCTATCTAGATTTTCTGTCCAATGGTGAAAGTAGTATGTTAAGTTATTATGCCCAACTATCATTGTACTGGAGCCTAGTTCTCTCTTTAGCGCTAATAATATTTGCTGTATATATCTGGGTGATTCAGCATTGGGTGTATATATATTTACAATTATTATATCCTCTTGCTGAATTGACTTCATCATTATGTAGTGATCTCCTTTGTCTCTTTTTACAGATTTTGTCTTGAAATATATTTTATCTGGTATAAGTACAGCTATTTGTGCTCTTTTTTGGTTTTCATTTGCATGGCATAGCTTTTTCTGTTCTTTCATTTTCATTCTGTGTTTTCGTAGGTAAAAGTGAATTTCTTATAGGCAGCATATAGTTGGGTCTTGCTTTTTAAAAAATTTATTCAGCCACTCTGTCTTTTATTTGGAGAATGAAGTCCATTTACACTCATTATTATTATTGGTAGATAAGGACTTACTACCACTATTCAGTTACTTGGTTTTTCTGTTGTTTTGTTAGTTTTCTCTTCCTTCTTTTTCCTTCTTGTCTTCCTTTATATATAAGTGATTTTCTGGTAGTGTTTTAATTTCTGTCTTTTAATTCCTTTTTGTCTCTGTGAAAGGTTTTTGCTTTGTAGTTGCCATGAGGCTTGCAAAAAAAAAAATTTATAACCAATTGTTTTAGATTGATTAAAGCTTAAATCTGATCACAAAGAAAAAAATTAAAAAGGAGAAAACTAAAAATCTCGATACTTTATCTCCTCTAATCTTTGACTTTTTGTTATCTCTATTTATGTCTTTTTTGTTGTCTAGCTTTCAACAAATATTTGTAGTTATTATTATATTTGATAGGCTTGTCTTTTAGTTTTCATACTAAAGATATGAGGGGTTTACACACAATTACAGTATTAGAGTATTCTGTATTTATTTGTGTGCTTACTTTTACCTTTAGTGAGTAAAATTAAGCTTTAGATCTTCAGGTAATTTCTTGCTGTACATTCGTACCCCTGTCTTTCAGGTTGAAGAACTCCCTTCAGCATTTCTTATAAGACAGATCTGGTGTTGATAAATTATGTCAGCTTTTGTTTGAGAAAGTCTTTACTTCTGTATGTTTGAAGGGTAACCATGCTGAACACAATATTCTAGCTTTGAAAGCTTTTCCTTCAGTGCTTTAAATATGTAATCCCATTCCCTCATGGCCTATAAGGTTTCTGCTGAGAAGTCTGATGCCAAACATTTAGACTCCTTTATATGTTCTTTGCTTATTTTCTCCTGCTACTTTAAAGATCCTCTTTTTGTCCTTAACCTTTGAGACTTTGATTATTATATATCTCTTGGTTGAATCTGCTTGGTGTTGTTTGACTTTCTTGTATGTCAATATTCACATCTGTCACTAGGTTTGAAAAGTTATCTGTTATTTTTTTGAATGAGCTTTCTATCTCAGTTTCTTTCTCTACTTCCACTTCAAGGCCAATGACTCTTACTTAGATTTGTTATTTTGAGGCTACTTTCTAGATATCACAGGCATATTTTGTTCTTTTTAAACTCTTTTATTGTGTACTGACTGTATTTTCAAATAGGCTCTCTTTAAGCTCACTGGTTCTTTCTTCTACTTGACCAGTTTTCCTGTAGAGACACTCTGATGCATTTTTTAAGTTATTGATTGCATTTTTCAGCTCAATAATTTCTATTTGTTTTTTTATTATTACTATAACTTCTTTGCTAAATTTATCTGATAGACTTGTAAATTCCTCCTCTATGTTATCTTGAGGTTCATTCAGCTTCCTCATGATAACTATTTTGAATTCCCTATTTGAGAGGTCACTTATCTCTGTATCTCTAGGATTTGTCACTGATACTTTATTTAGTCCATTTGGTGAGGTCATGTTTTCCTGGATGTTCTTCTTGCATGAGGGCATTTGTTAATGTCCAATTTTTTTTTTTCTGATAAAGGTGCTTTATTGTGTGTTACTCAGTTTGGTCTTCCTGCAATTGGGGGTGGTAAGGAAGTAAATCCCTGGAATTTTCTATTTAACCATCACGTGCCACCTCATATATTTTATTTTTTTAAGAAAAGTAGGTAGAAGTTGAAAGAATTGCCCAAGAGCTAAGTGAAGGTGGGCTGGAGTTATTGTCATGAAGCACTCTTCTAAGTTGCTTGAAAAATAGCACAAGCAATATGTTTTAAGTGTTCAGATAGGGAATCTTTCTTCCTTGGACAAACTCATTGTTGATATTGACATTGATTTGTTACGCTTCTGAGTGAAATAAACATAGGCATTTCACATAAAATAGATTATTCTTAGGAAATACATGATGTGACTTTAGAAAGTGGTCATGGTTCCTTCCAAAAATATTCATTATTAAATATGGTATTATGTTTCATTCCTGAACAAAGAGATCTACCATATCTGGTCTGCTCTGGAGAAAAAAATGACAAAGGAGAGAATTTGAGGAAACCTCCCTGTCCCTTACTAACTCCCATAAGAGTTGATGCAGAATGACAGTTATTCTCAACACCATGGACAGTGGGCCATAACCATCTCATTTCTCCTGTCATCTCTGTGGTTCAGCAAATTTTCCAGTTGTTCTGGATACAGAGTTTTGAGGGAATGGAGTGATTCTTGCCAAGGAGAGGTCAGTGTTTCTAGACTGGGCGAAACTGCAGTGATCCTTAGCAAGAATCTAGACTAGACAATTTGCAATGAAAGCCATTTGCATCCGGGTAGCACCTTTCCACCCTAAGTTCACCAAAGCTCAGCAGTATTTCCTCTTACCACTTAAATTAAAAACATTAACATATGTGGACAAGTTTTCTATTAAATATGCTGTTTTTCATTTGTTTCCAACTGCGGAATAACCATCAGAAACACTTATCTAATGTGTATTTCCATGTTCCATGTACCATGTTCCACGCAAGCACATTATAGCCACTGTCCAGTTTAATATCATATGAATATGAAATACCGTTCCCACTACTGTTTTCATCATTTTCCAGATGAGGATACCAAAGCAAATTCAGGAAACAATGATGAGACAATGACACCTTACTTTAGAATACACAGCTAGTAAGTGAGAAAGCTAGAATTAGACTCAGTCCATTATGCTCTAAAACTGATGCTGCTGCTCAGGCTCCCCTTAGCGTTTGCAAAAAATGGCACTGTGAGTGAGGAACCTTGTGTGCACAACAGTGACTCCCCAGCTAGCACTTCCCAAGTAGCTACACTTTCAAGTAGCTCTATTTTAAACACCCCATCTCAAATGTAGGGACACACACAATTGGTGGTGTCTGCACTGGGGAGGATGTACCTGGGGCAGAAGCCCATGCAGGGTCTGGAAGGGGCTTAGTCACTTTGGCAAAAGTCTCTGTGTCTTTGGGTACCCCTAAATGAGTGGAGTTCGGGGGCCAGATGAGCATTCCCATGATCCTATGGACTCCTAATTCCTTGGGGAGGAGTGTGTCAGAAGATGGTCAGAACTGGACCCTCACAAGTATGAGCCTGGCCAGGTGTCAGAGTTTTTTGGCTCTGATGTCTCTTAACCACTAGTTATAATTCCTCCCACATTACAAAGGCCCACAGTGTGCCCCCACAATGACAAGATTCCCTGTTGTCCTAGACAGCATTATTCTCCTCCTACCTTTGGGCAGGCACATCATTTTTCAGGGCGTAGGTCAAGTGGAAGAAACATTTTTATAGGTTAAAAGCAAGAAAATAACAATGAAGAACTCTGTAGCCTCTTAAAAGACTGTAGCCATGAACATTTCAGAAAGAGCTCAGAGATCCTCAAAAGGAAATGGTAAGCCAAAAAGCCTCTCCAAAAAAATAGTAATAAGGACAAAGCTGGTTCCCCTGATCCTTACGAAGGGGATAAGGAGAATGGGTGGTGCCCTGTGCCCATTTAGAGGTCAAGCAGGCCAGCAAAATTCTGTTTTCCCTGAGTGGGGACGCTTGCACTGTGGTACTCACATCTAGTTCTTTCCTTAAACAGTTGGAAATGAGATACTTAAAGAAACTCCACCCAATGGAAGTGGATGTGAGGTCACATCGAGGGTCATGGTCACAGTTGACTAAAAGGGTAGGGAATTGATTTCAGGATAGCTTATTTCAGACACGAAGGAAGAGAATTGCTTAGGCAGCAGGTTTCTTTCTTTTAAAAAAGGCTTATTGACTCTTAGGGACCTTATCTGAAAGTGAGATGACCATTTGCTCCCCCGCACAGGTCACCTATCGCACTAAAAACGTCCTGCTTTGGTGCTCAGGTTGGGATGTCAGAAATGTATTAGTTGCTTTGAATTTTGAATACATGAAAAGAAAGCATCCCTCCTAGAATGTACCTTCACCAAGATGCAATGATTTTCTGCCCTAATTGAGTGCTCTCCAAGAGACGTTGATGAAACATTTATCAGACTTGTGTAGTCAAGGTCATAGGTAGCATACGTAGACAGAAATAAGCTGGATAAAGGAGTCACCACGCTCTATGCAGTTCCCTAACTGATCTGCTCATTCTAGGCAGCATAGCCTTAAGAGCAAAAGCCAGGTTGGCCCTACCATCTTTGGGTATTCATCAATAACGGCACATAAAGAAGTTCTTTCAACTTAGAATTTTATGCACAAACGGCAAAAAGATTAACATCTGAAGTGGTAACAATGACATGTGTTTTCCAGAACTATTTTTCTCCAGGTAGACTGTGAATTGGAGTCTCCCTATGGTTAAGTTGAAGTTATCTAATTGTATTCTGGGCAATAGAAAGTGGGTGTAAATTATATTAATATATGCCACTTCCAGATTTAGCAATAAACCACCTGTATGACCCTTCACAGTCTCTCTTATCCATCCACTGTGACCTTGGAGGCTAGGTTTTGAAGATGTTTTATAACAAGATGAAAGAGATTGCATCCCTGAGTGATTGATGATCATAGCCTTCCATTGATTGCTCTAAACCAAGCTGTCAGTGAGCATGGAGCTTCTGCTGGCTTAATCCCCAAGACCTGGAGTTGTATAGGACTTAGTCTTGCTCCATAATACAACTTAATCCAAGTCTACTGAAATAGAACTATATATTCTACTGAAAACTTAACATGATCATAATTGGATATTATAGAGAGAAGTTTTAATATTAATAGCCAATCTGTCATTACTAATCAACTGGTGAAAAATAAACCAGTGAGCCAGGCGCAGTGGCTCATGTCTGTAGTCCCTGCACTTTGGGAGTCCGAGGTGGGAGGATCACCTGAAGCCAGGAGTTCGAGACCTGCCTGACCAACACAGTGAAACCCCATCTCTACTAAAAATACATAATTAGCCAGGAGTGGTGGCACATGCATGTAATCCTAGCTACTCAGAAGGCTGAGGCAGGAGAGATTGCACCAGTGCACTCCACCCTGAAGAACAAGAATGAAACCCTGTCTCAAAAAATAACAATAATAAAATAAAATAAATGAATAAATAAGCCAATGAGGTCTGCTGCATCGTATGTGTTCTGATTTGAATAGGATGACCATTTTTCTAAATTTCCCACCATCTGCAGAGTATTTCATTCAGGTTCAACACAAGCTAGTGATGCATCTAATTGCCTTGTGACTAATTTCATAATAATTATTATTTTTCTGAAAATAGCCTGCTTTGGACACAGGTGCTCCACTGATTTCTAAGGATGCCTCTGTGATGTCATACAGTGTGCCAATTTTCATCTTATGTCTTTGTTAAAATGCACGCTCTGAATGAAGAGACTCCCCCAAAACAGGCTTTGTGTGAGCAACAAGGTTGTTTATTCATCCGGGTGTGAGTGGGTTGACTCCGAAAAGAGAGTCAGTGAAGGGCGGTGGGATAAGAGTTGTTATTGTAGGTTTGGGGTGGGCAGTGAAAAGTTACAAAAGTTACAGTTAAGGGAAGATTTTTGCAAGCTGAGAGGGGGTTAGGTTTACAAGCTGGGAGGGGGTCATAGGGTGTGGCATCAGGAGGTTGACCAAGGTCAGTTACAAAGTCCCATGGCCTTGTCATTTGAGGCCGGAATAAGAAACAATAGAAGAATGTCTCGGGTTACTTAGGCAGCGAAGGGGTTGACAGTTCTTCTGCTTTTCATAATCTTCCAGCTACTTCACGTTTTCTAATTCTGGAAGGCCCTCCAGAGGTGTACGTGCGGGTCACTGGGGTCACCATGCCTTCCACAACGCGGTCAGACCTTATAGTCTTAAAAGGGCATTACTCCACTTTTGAGAGACGTTGTCACTCTGTAGCTGACTCTCTGCTCCAAGAACTCAGAGTCCCCAGGCCAACTTCCTGAGTTGCTCCTGGCATTTTCTATTCTTTCTGTTGCACAGTGGGGCCTGTGGTTTTATTCCCTGAAAAGTCACTCCTGGATGGACCCAGTCTGAAGATGGTTCTACTGCTTTACAGAAATATGGATGTCACGAAACTTCCTATGGGAAGCTTTTAAACAACCTCGCTGAATTTAGTAGGTTAGGATTTTAGTGAAAACTTACTGCATAGCCACTGCTTGTGGGTAGAGTGTTCTTGAGAAAAAACTCAGGGTGTAAAGATTGCCAAGTCATGAAATGGACATGACAAGATGAATGTCATTGCCTAATTTCCAAAGCCAAGATCACCATGGTTCACCAGAACTCAAACGCAGCAGATAGCCCTTGGTAAAATACCCTGTCTTCAGGATGGTGAGGTTCAGCTTTGAGATATGTTCCAGAATGTTACAATGTTAAGGGGCCCTAGGGGTTGTTAATATCAATTCTATAATTTTTAAGACAAAGAAACTGAAGCGTGTTGAGGGCAAGAGAAACACTAATGGTGTCGAGCTGGTATTTTAGAGAGAGGCAATTATTTCATTCCCAGTTATTACCTATGCTGGTTGTACGACTTTAAACAAATTACTGCACTCAGTAGGTGCCATTTTCTTTATCCATAGACACTGGGGACTTTTTGGACTCTGAGGATGCTACACATCTGTTAGCCACTTGGATGTTATCCTCCACATCTTAAAAAGTTCATGATACAGCTGCTGTCACCAGATTTGTGTGTTATTTTTTAGGAATCCCAAAATTTAAAACAGATAGCATGATCCTATTGATCAAAGTATAATTTTTAAAAAGGTACTATCAATTTTAAGAACACTTCAATGGATCAATGGGAGTAGAAATGGGGTCCCCCACTTAGGCATAGATTTTACATATAATTTTAAAACTGAAATTTGATTAGAGAAGTTAATTTTTTTTTTTCCAAAATGCAATTTTCTTCCATTGAGATTGATTCGACTCTATAGGTTCCCTGCAGGAGGGTAGGACTTTCTTACTTGTTCTTAATGCAGAATTCTCTGAGAGAAATGTTCCTTTATCTTAGTGTCTCAGTGGGCATTGCTGGTATTCCTGAGTGTGTTGACATTTTGGCCATTTCCAAACATTTCTAGGTCTTTGTTACTGACCTGCCTACATTTCAACCCTTGGCCCTCCCCTCTGTTTTGAAATTGTTTGTTCTTTCACAAGAGCAAACTGAAAGCTTTACTCTCAAGCAAAAAAGAAATCTTGAGCCAAAGTATTATAACTTGCCCTGTAGGAAATGACAGCAGTGCACTGGTTATCTTTTTTACCTGGTTGTTAGGGTACATTAAATTAAAATAACACAGCAAGAAACATTAGTTTCCATGATTTATTTTAGATTTACATTGGTGTGTGGATTTTGGTTGGTTGTTTGCTTTGGTTAGGAGGAGGTGGTATATGAAAGCGGAGGTCTTGTATAGCTGATGGGAATGAGTTTTTTTTTTTTAAAAAGGTTATGAAACACACTCTGTCTTGAGGAATAGTCCAGGGGAGTGATCATATATCGAGATAAAATCAAGAGGCTGGTAAACAGCAAGCGGTGTATGATTCAGTAACTCCCCCAGATTGCTTTATTGGTTAGGTAATGAAACATGCTAGGGAATTTCAACCAAACATGAGTCAGCGCACTGCCCAAAAACATTTGAAATGACTGAACTACAAGCTTAGGAAGCATGGGATGAGGTGTGCCGTTAAATTGCTCCTGGACTGGAAAGTATTCCTAGGTTCTTCCCACCACTACCTGGAGAAGTTGACCCGGGATTGTTTGGGAAAGACATGGGACTTTTAGGTCCTCTCAAAGCTTTTCACATTGCCCCATGTTGTGTGTTGTTCCTTGTTTGTGATTTTTTTTTTTTTTTTAAGCATGAAGGCACTCAAACCAGGCTAATATAAACTGAGGCATTCTCAAAGTACAGGAAATTGTTTTCCTTAACTACACACTTTTGAAAAAATGGTGTTTAATTACCTGCTGCTTCTCTGTTGCTCAGATTCCCTTCAGGATACAGGGGGAGGGATGGGAGAGAAATTTCCTTTGCGATTTAATATAATTATTCATAATGACTACATATGGTCATTTTATAAGTTTCTAATTATTTTAAGTGATTGGTGCATGGTCATTTGCATAGGCTGTTTAGTGGAACACTCATTTCATTCAGTGACCTACATATAAATCATCGAATAGTCTCTAGGCATGTAAAGCAGATGAGAGAAACCAAATCCCCCCCCATCACTTAGGTTCCAATGGATGCATCTCAGAATGTTTAATGTAAATCATAATAGCAACCTGGATTTAGCGTGCTTCATAGGAATGTGTGGTTGATATAGGGAAACGTTTCATTTTTTCTTTCAGTAGCAGATGGTACACGGATTTTTATTTGATGCAGGCACTACTTTCCAAGGTAATTGTCAAGGACTTTTTTCCCCCATGAAAAAAATGGAGGGAAGGCTTCTGGATCAACCCATTCATTTTACAGATGAGCAAACTGAGACCTCCATTATTGAGGGATTTTCCCTAAATCACCAGGTTTTAGACAGAATGCGGGCTAAAACTCACATCTCCTGACAGTCAGCTCAATTCTCTTTTCTTCATACTGCACATTTTCTCTTGAGAGTTGATGTGATATATGTCACTTATAAAAAAATGAGTTTCCATTTCTGGTTATATTTTATCTACTTTCCTTCTCTGAAAGCCAAGTTGTGTTGATTCATAGTAAGGACCAGATATTTCACAGTGCTAATTCCAAGCCGGGTATAATTTGTGACTTCTAGGTTACTCACTTGTGTCCACAAACCACCTAAATTTGTTAAATGTATGCAGTCCCCTTGATGGAAGGGGCCTAGAGAGCTCATCTCATTCCGTGATTTTTCCAACACTGGTTTCTTGGCTGCTGATGTGCTGTTCCATTTCATCCAAGTCTACAACAAAATAAGAAAAAGTCAGCATGGGGAGTTTTGGCCTCAAGTTAAATTAATTCCCTTTTTTTTTTACTGAAGTCTTTATGAAATTATGATCCTTGAGAATAGTCATTGCTGCCTTCTTTTATTTTCATGAGAAAACAAGAAATGACACATGTATGTCAGTTTTACACAAAATTACCCCCCACCTTCCCCTTAATTCCTTTTATGTTCTCGTGTTTTTATTGTGTTTGCCCATCAGTGAATCCAAACATTGAGAAACCTTGGGATGAGAGAGTGTTATTTTCTAGGAAACCAAAGTTTAAAATGTTTTTCTTGGTTGGTTTGTTTGCACAACTAATCATCATTTATTAAGGTGGGGTTAAGCCAGGCACCGTGGCCCACGCCTGCAATCCCAGCACCCCGGGAGGCTGAGGTGGGAGGATCATGAGGTCAAGAAATCAAGACCATCCTGGCCAACATGCTGAAATGCTGTCTCCACCAAAAACACAAAAAAACTAGCTGGGCATTGTGTTGTGCACCTGAAGTCCCAGCTACTCAGGAGGCTGAGGCAGGAGAATCCCTCAAACCCGGGAAGCAGCGGTTGTAGTGAGCCAAGATGGAACAACTGCATTCCAGCCTAGGCAACAGAGTAAGACTCTGTCTCCCCACTACCGCAAAAAAAAAAAAAAAAAAAAAAAAAAAACTACTGAATCTGATGATTGTAAGTTACCGCTAAGGAAGAAGAAAATTCAGTAACATCTCAAAAATTATAGTTCATATTAGAAGTCCTATTTTTCTTTACTTTTTCACAAAGTGGCGAATGTAGCCTTCAAAAGATGTAAAAAAAAAATTCTGCTTTAAAATAAGCATTTTAAAATCTGAGGAAAGACTACAAAGCAGCATAACAGGTATTAGTCCATTTTATGCTGATAATAAAGACATACTTGATATTGGGCAGTTTACAGAAGAAAGAGGTTTATTAGACTTGTAATGCCACGTGACTGGGGAGTCCTCACAATAATGGCAGAAAGTGAAAGTCTTGTTGTACCTGATGGCAGATAAGAGAAGAGAGCTTGTGCAGGAAAACTCCCATTTTTAAAACCATGGTATCTCATGAAACTCATTCACTATGAGGAGAACAGTGCGGGAAAGACCCCCTGTAATTCAATCACCTCCCTCTGGGTGCCTTCTATGACTCGTGGGAGTTGTGGGAGTGACAGTTCAAGATAACATGTGAGTGGACACAGCCAAACCATATCAGTCACTATAGTCATTTTTCAGCAAAACCAAGAAGTAGCAAATTTGAACCCAGTTGCTTAAAACAGATAAAGCACCCTACTGCCCCACTACCAAATCAGCAGTCACTCTTCCTCTGGGTCATTTTCTGCTTTCAAGAAATAACTCTTCCATTCACTGTAGATAACAGAATAGATGTTACCTGTGAATTTACTGCCTAATTTTTCGTTTATTTACTTCTACCTTTATTCATATCTATCCTAGACAGCCTACAAAGGAGCTTTCTCTCTCTCTCTTTTTAAAAACTATCTCTTGTAATTCTTAAATATGTGCAAATGTTACCAGGTGGCTATGGATTCTTTTTGGATGAACTTCCTCTCCTGAGTACACCTTTATTTTCCTAAATTCCCCATGAAGATGTGCCTACATCTGCCTTCCAACTTCTATGTTCCTTAGCCATAAATATCAACGTTGTTTCATTGACAAATTTTGGAAACGATAGAGAGAAGACAATAAATTGCATCATGACCACTTGCCTTGTTCTTTGGTAAAGGTACCTATGTCTCCACCCTCTTTCTTCCACATCTCAAGGTGGAAATCATTTCGTACTAGGAGAAAGAGGAAACAGGGCATTCCTTAGTGGGGAAACATTAGATGCCATGTGCAATCTAAATGTCAAGATTTGGGCTGCTGATCTAAAAGGTTTCCACTCTCTGGGTTGCTCGAGTGAAGCAAATAAACAGTGTAACACATCTATCCTCTCAGGTAGAAGGCTCTGCTGTTCATTGTATTGCTACTGTGCATATTGGCAGCATCATTAGCAGCAGCAGCATTTGGTAGCAAGAATGAGTCTGAGCCACCCATATTTGCTAAGTAATCTGTCCAAGTTGGCCATGCCTATGATGGATATTGTTATTCATCCATAACACCATCCTTAGAATCCTGGTAAATCTCAAAGAACTCTACAAGGTTACAGTTTCAGAGCTATGAATGTGGGCAAAGGTAAAAATGATTATGTAGCAGAGAGTGGAGATTATCAACAGGTGGTCAAAAGAGAGCGAGCAAGAGTTGCTTTGTTGCCTAATAGAATGGAGATAAAACAGTTAAACACGTATATCCTGTTTCCCCCAACACAAGCCTACTGCTCGTGATTTCAGGTTCCTCTGACGTCGTTCAGTTACTGCCCCTATTATATTAAAATGGGAGTAAAAGAAGCATTTTCAATTTTCATGAAAGGAGAAATAAAACAGCAACAGCATTAACAACAGCACAATGAGTCCTGGAACCGTTGTCTTTGCTTCTGGAAGGGTCCTAGAGATTTATGAGTAAATTGGACCATTCCAGCTATATGCATTAAAGTTCTGTTGGCTCTTGGGTCCATTATGCCTTGTTGTGTGATGTTTAAAAATTCAGTGTCATTTGGTGAGAAGTAACATAATATCGGCAATCATAGGCTCTAGAAGTACTCAGCTTGAGTTTCTATCCCTTTTCTATCAACTGATAGTTGGTAGATCTTTGGAAAGGTTCTTAAACTTTCTGTGCCTATATTTTCTTATCTTTGAAATGGAAATGATAATGATGGTGATCCTGGTGATGGTGATGGTGATAATGATCAAGCTGATAGTGACAAAACCAAACACATAGGGATGTTAGCAAAATTACAAATACATGCCACACCCTTAAACAGCACCTAGCATGCGTTTAATAAATACGTTTCTCTGTGATTAGCTGAATCCATCAAAGCAACGCATTTCTAGTCTGTTCTCTGGTGGTGTGGCTAAGAGAAACTGGAGGTGCCTAAGAATCACTGAGGATGCTAGTTCCAGAGAAGAGTTCTTGGATCCTGTTACACAGTTCCTGAGTCTGTGTAGGTTGTACTTAGAAACTTGCATTTTTGATAAACTCTGGAAAAGGTTAAACTTCGAGAATTGACAGACTTGGGCAAATGTGGAAGCCATTCTGAGACAAAAGAAGTGGAAGCTGTCACCAGCTGTTTAATAGATAGGGAGAGACAGAGAGCTGCTGTGTTGTTTAATTTGGAGTGGCAGGCAGCTGAAACATTGCCTAATTCTGAACCAGACCCCTGATGCTTAAATAGGAAGCCCAGTTAACACCCCTAATTCTAACGGCAGCCATGCTAACCAAGATAACAGCTGTCTCCATTCAAAGACACATCTATCTGTTCTTTGTTGACTAGTGCCTTTCGTTTCTCTGGCCAGAGCAAATGTGCTTTTTCTGGCTTTAATTTTGCACTTTTAACTAATTAAATTGTATATATGAACTAAAATATTTATATACCCAAGATAATGAAAATAACCCATGATAAGTGGAACAAAGGGAGTAAAAGTAAAGCAGATTTAGTGACACCGGAGTTTATTGAGCATCTGTGATTAGATTGTGTTCCCTGGTTCGCTTCGGGGACTGTAATTCAATCTGCAGCTTGAACTGATGACTCTTCTTTTCTGTAGAGGTTTAGAGAAAAAAAAATGAATTCTTCTTTTTAATATCTCAAGTTTCTCTTCAAATGGCTACTTGTTACATCTTGGGGTAGGAGGGGAGTCTTTTAGGAAAAAGAAGAATGGGATTATTCTGTGGCCATCCAGGAGGGAGACTGAGCAGAAAATTAAGCTATATTTGGAAGCTATAATCTAAGATGTGAGTGTGAAGGTGGGGTAGGGTGACTAGCTGCTGCAGGTGATTCCCAAAACTGGGGCTCAGCTTGGAAGAGCTCTTGGCTTTGCTTAGGTTAGAATTCAAAAGCAAGATGACAGAGAAAGAAAGCAAGCAAGTATATTAGGGAAACAGTGTACAGCAAAAATGTCTGCTGCATAGACCCAGCAAGGCCACCCCAGAGATAAGCAGCCCTCCTGGCTTGCTGGCTCTCTGTATTTCTAGCTACTCATATACTGATAGGGGTGCAAAAGTAACGGCGGTCTTTGTAGTAAAAGCAAAACAAAAGGAAAAAGGTAAAAACTGCAATTGCTTTTGCACTAACCCAATAAATAAGGGGTGAGTTATTCACCAACTTTCTGGAAAAGAGGCAGGGAGTTCCTAGAACCATTTACACAGATGAATGTTAGGTGTCAACTTGATTGAAGGATGCCTAGAGAAGTGGTGAAGTATTTATTGTTTCTGGGTATGTGTGTGAGGGTGTTGCCAAAGGAGATTAACACCTGAGGGAGAGGACGCGGAGAGAAAGACCCACCCTCAATGTGGGTGGACCCTATCCAATTGGCTGCCCGTACAGCAAGGGTAAAGCACGTAGAAGGTGGGATCAGCTGGCTTGCCGAGTCTTCCAGCCTTCGTCTTTCTCCTGCACTGGATGCTTCCTGCCCTTCAATATCGGACTCCAGGTTCTTTGGCCTTTGGACTCTTGGACTTACATCAGTGGTTTGCTGGAGGTTCTTGGCCCTTTAGCCACAGATTGAAGCCTGCACTGTCGGCTTCCTTGCCGTTGAGGCTTCTGGACCTCGAGTGAGTTTCTACTGGCTTTCTTGCTC